AATTCGCACAGAATATTGCGTCTATAATTACCAAGTATTTAAACAAATTTACCACAATTGCAGTCTTGAAACCTCTTGAGGCATTTACAATGTGTTCCCATGTTTCTCCAGAAAACGTCATTATGCTGTTAGGCACATGTGAAGCAGTTCTACCGTGAATCTAAGTTTAAATTGGAAATTTTTTTGAAAAAAGATCTGATGGGAAATGAATCAGTGGCAATTGGTCATACCTCTATTTTATCTATAAGTAAAAATCAAATCTTTGCACACAAATTAACCAATGAGAAGATGTGTCATGAATGTTCTTCTGAAATAATAACAAATAAATAAGACATCCAATGTTTGCAAGACTTCAAACACATATTTTATATATAGTAGTTAAACATGGATATAATATATTGAATACAAATAAGAATTAATTTACTTTTTCACCAGGGGTTGGACCATACATTAATCAGTAAGAATTGGATATCATGGCGTCCAGTCCTAAATCAAAGTATTCGTTTTCTGTAGACAGCTATGCTGCTCTTTCGTCAATCGAAAGTTCATTAGCTAGAAGGATATGTATTGTTACTAACTAACTTAAGTATTTCTTAAAAAAAGAAGTAATTATAGCATGCATTTGAGATCAGTCATATTTGGAAAAAAAGTGTGAATTGTTTCATGTATTTTTTTTTTGTTATCTTTTGTTCTACAGTTTTGCCTGGTGTTTTTTTTTTTTTTTTTTTGTTATCCGACAATATAAGCTTGCATTGTGATTTTTTGTAATGGATTTACCCTTGAACAACCCTTACACGTTAAAAAACAAAAACAAAAATTAACGCATTTGTTATATGATCGTTGTCCAGTATTAACCTTTTAACTTTAAAGGGGCACTAGCTACGAGATATATAAAAACTCTAATATATGATTTTTTTTTGTTTTGTTCAATCATTAATGAAAGTGAAATAGTGAAATGATTATTCGCTTTTAGCCGCGAGTATGGTTCAATTTTGTCAAAATAAGCTAAGAAAAATTGATGATGAATTATTCACTTGCAAGTGAATAATTCGACCTCATTGAAGTTTCCTCGTTTGAAGCGTTAAATACAGATACTGTTAAACGAACGTTATTATCGAGAGTTTGTGTCGGTAAGTACGATAGTAACCGTACGACATTTATAAACAATTACATCTCAAGTATTAAACAGTTTGAATATGTTATGGATACACTATACATTAATAACTTCTTATCCAAAGGACAACATTTAGCATTTATATGTTTCTGATTTTGGACACGAATATGAAAACATAAGGAGATAAACTAGTTTTGTTAGATATAACCTGCCTTTTTTAACGTCTACCATTGAACTATAAAAAGGCTCACACAAAACAGCACAGGAAAAACTATCAATGTGATAACGTTATGAATCACTTCTATGTTGAAGGCATAATTATGATAAAAGAAAACAAAAACATACGTTCGAAAATAAAGAAAAACACAATAAAAAAAAAACAATCACGCAAAGAATAATGCTCGCGAATATTGACAGCAAGGCAAAAATATGTATTCTGATAATATGAAAGCATGCTGCGTTACACTCTAATATAATATGCTGTTCTTAAAAGTAAATTTCATAAAAGAACACAACCGCCTAAGTGGTCTCATGACGGCGGGTAGTGGGTTGGAAACCCGGCCGGTCAAACCAAAGACTTAAACATTGATATTTGGTGCTTCTCCACCAAGCAATCGACAAGATGCTTTTTCTTTTTGTCTTTGAGAAGGTTCTGTATTGCTTCTGATCTTACCTCCTATACATTTCTGGGAATATTATTGGTTAAAAGCGACCGCGTGGAGACCCTGTATACTGTACATGGGGTTGGTAGGCGTGGGTTATTTTAATACACGGTTAGTAGTGATGTTACGTCCCTTTATAAAAACAACACGGCGTTGAGGAAAAATCTGAAACATATCACCCGGACAACAGACGAAGAAATTGATGATGAATGATAGAAATAAATCCAGAAAACACATTAAAAGCTAACAAGTTGTCATTGTTGGCATTTGTTTTTGTATAAGACCAATGGAAGTAGGTTTTTTATATTGAAGACTTGATCACTTTAAAAGGCCACTAGTCTAATTTACTGACCCCATATAGATTATAGTAGGTCAATAGCACACTGTGTAACTAATAATATGAGTAAAAAAAAGCAAGTTGGCCAGTAGTGATGCACAATTAGTACCCAGTGGAATACTGACTGTCTGAAATATCAATCCACCAAACACAACGAATATGTTATCGATCAAAAGGTCCAGCATTTTAATGATATCTTTCTCGGTGTGTTTGTTTTTAGAATCATATATGAATATCACATTATCATGTTCTCGTTCTGAATATGCATTGTATTTGCCACTGGGCTTTAAATATCCACCCGTCCATCATATATACAACAACGTCATAAAACATACAGGAAGACAAGACCTATAAATAAATAAAACATTTGTGCTAAACATAGACATGTTAACAACTGTACATAATAAAAGGTGTACGTCATTGTATTAAAATCACATAATTTGTTTTGTTTTAGCTGTAGGGACAACTACCCCACAACCACAACCATATATAAGTACACGTGAGTCTTTTAAGAAATTGTTAGTGCATTAAAAATTTCTTTTTTCCTGCTTTTGGGATCTGATATTTCAAATGTCACGCTTTTTAACTTAATATTATTCAAGACTTATTCTTTCATTTGTAAATTTTCCTTTTCTTCCAAACAATGATCGAATTACTCTTTTCTGATGAGTGTAAATATTTTTCAAATCATTTCAATACATGTTGTTACAGTATGAATAATCTGAGACCAACAATCGTAATATCTTGGAAAGTGCGTTAAAAGGACAACTATCGACCTTCAACAGGAATCAATATTCATAAGTATATGTCAACCTTTAAGCTCATATAAAGATCAGAGAAACTGAAAACCGTCATCAAATTCAGATATTATTTAATAAATTTAGCTATGTATGGGTAGAACAATTTTATACGAGTATACGTTATGCTTTCGTGTAATTTTATTATTTGTAATGTACGGACCGTTATTGATTGACGTAAACAACTACATTGTACTATACGTTATGTTGTTTTGTAGCCATACCACCGTCACCACGTAAGTAAATTTGCATTTAGCTAATAGTCTAAAGGGAATACATTATTAGACAAATATTTAATATATAATGAATGAAATGTAGAACTAGTTTTGCTCATTGTTGAAGGCAGTACGTTGACCTACAGTTGTTAACTTCTATGCCATTTGGTATCTGGTGGATAGTTGTCTCATTGGCAATCATACCACATATTCTTATTTTTATAATAATCAAATGCAGATATTAATAGAAAAAATCTTAAATTAAATGATTTTACTGATACAAATGAAAAGAGGAGATAAACACAAACAATAAGCAAGTACTCTGTAAAATAATATCGTATTGTTTGATATAACAGTATAATATTTAAATAAGTGTGTGCCTGCCGTTCTTAGATGACTGTTGTTGATGTATCAGATGTTACACATTCATGTTTGCCTTCTACGATTAAGTTTGATTCTAAGTCATTGTTTTGTGCAAATCTGGATTGAATGTATCTTCTTAACGGCTTATGACATTTAAACATTGGTTAACTGTTGTTGCTTCTTATTTAGGACTTGCCAATGCGATGACATAGGGTGAATTAATAAAGATGCGTTGGATGTAAATGTATTGTGTTTAACAAGTAATTACAAGCACGAAATCATAAAATGTTATTTTCATTTCATACTAGAGAATACAGGACTTATATATTTTTCCAATTGAATTTTAATAATAAAAAAACCCTATTATTGACTCCCTTTGCTTTCTATGTTATTTTCTTTTTAATTTCAATCATTGGCGGTGGGGGAGTTGGGTCAATATACCTTTATTTACAGATCAGAGCGTAGGATTACCGGAACTTTGAATATACCAAAGCAGGAACTTCATATCTGAGAAACAGGCAATATATGCCACCTTTTTAAGATTTCATTCAAACATTTTTTTTTATTATTCCAAATTATCAGTCAAAAGGCGTTCATCGTTTACATGTATTTGATACCTTAATTATCAATATATATTCTACATAGTTTGATATTTACACCTATGCGCTTGAACTTTTTTGTTTGAATAAGTACTACTTTCTGGTATGTTCTTTTTGGCCGGGGCCGAGTTGGGTGTGTTATTTGCCCTATACATACGTTATTTCCTGCCTGGTTATCGAAAATACATCTTAGTGTGGCCCGTGGTTGTCTAAATGTTTATTGGGCTAAATTATTACAATTAATGTTTGCTTCTTTGCAAGATTTATTTCATTAATATTACTCCATGGCATTGTTTCTTCGATTGTGACTTGATCACCATTTTGCAAAGAATTAAGTGTTAAGAGCCGTCTTAAACTTGCAGTGAGGTGAGAGTTTTTGCTCTGTGTTGAAGGCCGCATTTTGACTTTAAGATGAAGAACAGCAACAAAAGAGCTGTTCCTTTGCTTTTTGTGTTTTTTTCTGTGCATGTACTTATTTTGTATCATGGATGGATACCCCATATCCTATCTGTTCTATTAATATTACACATGCATTATATGTATGCTACATACATCAAATACTTGAGTTGAATTAAATGATTTATCTATTCTTTAAATTGATATATTTCAGACGTCGGATAGTCGTAGTTTTTTGCTCCTTTTAACCAGCTAATCTCTAACATACACAACCACCTACAAATCAAACTTTGGATGTGAAAATTTTTTAATTTTATAGAATGAAAGGTTGCAAAACAAAGGCTATAAGACATGCTTTTTTTCATTTGAGTATGATAAAGACAGTTTAAGTGGCAACGTAAACATATATTGTTTTGGAAATGGTATGCTATAAAATAAAAATCTATAACACATTGGAAATTTATGCTAGCAATGATTTAACATTAAATCGAACATATATTATATTTGTAGCCTGTCACCGAGCAATGGCCGACATTTTCTTCATTGCTGATAGCTCGACAAGTATAGGTATCACTGCTTTCAACGATTTGAAGAGATTTGCAACATCTGTTGTGAATAGGTTTACAATTGGTCCAGATCACATAAAGATTGGTCTCATAACATTTTCTGATGATGCAGAAATACAATTTACACTAAATACGTACCGTAGAAAGTCTGATGTTATAAATGCTGTCTTAAATATTTCATACATTACTGGCATTACCAATACACATAAAGCCCTACAACTGCTTGATAAGTATGGATTAACGAGAGCTAGTGGCGGACGAGGAAACACAGTCCCTAAGATTGCAATTCTTGTTACAGACGGAGCGTCAACTAAACCATTGCGTACGAAAATGCAGGCAATTAAGGCAAAAAATCAAGCAATTATCATGTTTGCAATAGGTAGGTTAAAATAAAACAAAACGGTAAAAAATGATAAGGTTTAAGAGCGAATATATAAAGGAGACGGTATGACTGTAAAAGTCTTATCAAAATTTTAACATACGTGTAGGTGAATGCAGTAGATACGTGATCAATAAAAATAAATTCATATATTATTCAAAAAGGGAAGTAATTTCAGTAACAATCTCGCTATGAAATCCGAATAAAATTCTATTTTATTAACATGCTACGTCAAACTAACACTGTAAAATATACAACTACAATCATTGTCAAAACAAATTGAATAAGCACATGGAATAGGGCGAATTTCCCCTGAAATTCATTGACACACAGAGTCGTAATCTGAAGGTTGTTAAGACCTACTTAAATTTAATTCATAAACATTAAAGATTTCTCTATGAATTTAACTATTTCCTTAAGATAAACAATTGTTTGTCAGTGCTGCATATTGTTGTTGAAGACCGTTTTGAAACAATAATAAACATTATTAAGTTTCACATTGAATGATATTCCTCAACTAAAATGAATAAGTTTGCATCTTAAAGACAAAATATATCTCTAATTTGAATAGAATATTTCGTCTATAATTACCAAGTATTTAAACAAATTTACCACAATTGCAGTCTTGAAACCTCTTTAGGCATTTACAATGTGTTCCCATGTTTCTCCAGAAAACGTCATTATGCTGTTAGGCACATGTGAAGCAGTTCTACCGTGAATCTAAGTTTAAATTGGAAAACTTTTTGAAAAAAGATCTGATGGGAAATGAATCAGTGGCAATTGGTCATACCTCTATTTTATTTATAAGTAAAAATCAAATATTTACACACAAATTAGCCAATGAGAAGATGTGTCATGAATGTTCTTCTGAAATAATAACAAATAGATAAGACATCCAATGTTTGCAAGACTTCAAACACATAATTTATATATAGTAGTTAAACATGGATATAATATATTGAATACAAATAAGAATTAATTTACTTTTTTCACCAGGGGTTGGACCATACATTGATCAGCAAGAATTGGATATCATGGCGTCCAGTCCTAAATCAAAGTATTCGTTTTCTGTAGACAGCTATGCTGCTCTTTCGTCAATTGAAAGTTCATTAGCTAGGAGGACATGTATTGGTACTAACTACCTTTCTTAAGTATTTCTTAAAAAAAAAGTAATCATCGCATGCATTTGAGATCAGTCATAGATTTACCCTTGAACAATCCTTACACGTTAAAAAACAAAAACAAAAAATAACGCAATTGTTATATAATCGGTGTCCAGTATTAACCTTTTAATTTAAAAACAGATATAACGACTAATAATTTGAACACAACTGGCATGTTGAAGTATAGTTATTAACGATCATTAAACTTTTAAGAAAAATTTAAAAAATCTAAATGAGGAAATGACCACCAAGATGAATAAAATCTTTGGACAATTAATAACGATAAGTCGAAAAAAACAAACATACGTGTTACACCATGGCTTTAAAGGAAAAAGATGAAGATCAAAGATTGATCGAAACAAAACCCACCAGAACATGAATGTGATTGGAGGATGGAAAATTTCTCCTGCTCCACAAGTGGCACATGACATGTAATTCATTTGAAGTAAATGTTCAATGGTCAGTCGCATTTCAGGGCGAATAATCGTGAGGAAGAGGACTTGATTAACTGATAATTTGAAACTTTATCTTCATAGTAACTACACATATATATCAATTTAGCGTGTTACATTTGCAACATTTGTTATAATCATTACTAATATGCAACTGTTGTCCTAGGAACTCTGCTCTATACATGTTATACTAAGTAAATGTTAGCAGATGATACAAATCAATGCTTAATCAAAAGAACACATATTTATTAATGTTTTCGTGTATTGTTTTTCTTGTAGCTGTATTGCATAGGAATCCATGACTACACAAACTACAGTAATACATAGGTACGTGAACCTTATTTTTAAGCATAATACTATTGCAGATGTATAAAAACAAATAAAGCAGCACCATTAACAGTATTGTAAAGCATTATACTGTCCGAAAGTTTTAGTACCGATTTTCGCTGGATCGATCAATGTACGGAGATTGATTGTAAGATATTCTACAAAAGACATGATTATACAATTTTTAAAGGAAGCAGCCAAAACGTCCCCTAAAATATCATATTTAGAACAAACTGATAAACAAGTTTCTATTATTTTCATTGAGTAATACGAAAAGAAATATAGCGAAAAAGAAAAACACTCTTAAACTCCCCAACGGTTGGTTGTATCTGCTGTTCTCGTGATTGAGAATTTTTTGTCACAGTCCAGTCAGTTGTAAATATGTCATTAATACTCGGGATAAGACCAAACTGACAATTAATAAATTAAGGAATTCGGCAAAGTTGGATGAAGGTAATTTCGACCGAAAAGAAGATAAGATGGTAAAGAATATTGCATTGGTTCACAAAAGGATCCCTTAAATGTTTATTGCAAAAGTTCTTTAGCTTGCAGAGAGTGTGGTACTCTTCCTACACGAGGCATTGCATTTAAAGTCCTTTAACTGCTTAGCAAAACCAACAACCTTCTCTTTAGCATGGATTTTGCCTTCAGGACGGTTCGAGTCAAGGTAGCAAAATTTCTATATCCCAGTTCATGATACACTATTTTGCATTAATTGCCGGCAGGCAAAGATATTATGTAAAGGACTCCTATGAAAACTAGATATTGGATGTGAAATGAAAAATTTGACAGTAATGACGAAATTTTAAATTAAGGAAATTCTCAATTATAAAGGCCAGACAAGTCATAATTTAAAAAAATTAAAACAAATCCAGTTATTGAATGCAGGTTAAAACATATTCATAATAGTATTTACTTTTTTCAGTATGATGACTTGGATATAAATGAGATTGAGGTATACAGTCATGAAATTATATGGAACATTTTATGTAAGAATCCTGTGTCAGTGGTTCCTGTTCTTACTATTTTGATTTTGAAATTCAATATGTATCACTTGCAAAATGAAATGTTTTATTCATTGCAAAATGAAATGCTCTTATTCATTGCAAAATGAAATGTTTTTATTTATTGCAAAATGAAATGTTTTATTCATTGCAAAATTTTGTAACTTTTGAACGTATGTTTATCTATTTGTACATATTAGTCAATATGTCAATACGCTTCAACGTCTTACTTAAATTGGCATTTAACTATTTTGATATGAGCGTCCTTGATGAGTCTTTTGTAGACGAAACGCGCGTTTGGTTTTCAAAATTTTAATCTTGGTATCTATGACGAGTTTATTGACATTTGTTCACGAATTTTTAACGTAAAGGTATTTTTATAGAGTCACAATTAGCACACTTTTTTTTATGAATATGCATGTTCTGTTACGTCATATTTATGAATTGAACATTATATGTATTAAATTTCGCACCATGTGTAACAAAAATTAATGACACAAAATATCTTCGCACACTTCTAAAAAAAACATTTCCGATATTTTTCTACATGTAAACTAAGGCTCCGTGTTGAAGACCGTACTTTGACCTATAATGGTTTACTTTTATAAATTTTGACTTGGATGGAGAGTTGTCTCATTGGCACTCATACCACATCTTCTCATATCTATAAACGTTAGTTTTCTCAATTGAATTGTTTCATATTTTTCATGTCGGGGCCTTTTATCAGTGGAAAATCTAATGAACGAAAACAAAAGAAAATTCACTCTTCTTATGATAGAGTCGAGAAAGTCAATAATAAAACAATTCCGGTGACGATAGTGATCAAAAGTTATTTCTAAATAATAATTGTACATTTCAAAAAAAATATTTGTTAAACTGTGTTAGAAGAAATATACATGCAAATACACTATGTTTTATGTTCGGTATTTATCGAGATAATTGCATTAGAAGCTAGTGAAACTGAAATATAAAAAAATGCCAATCCTTGCTGCATATTGATTAAAAAATTGAAGAAAATCATGTACATACAAAATGTTAAGATCCTTCAGGTCACCAATTTTCGGAGTGTTCCACAAAGTCCTTAGCATGTTACAATTTCTCAAAGTTTATTTATTTTTTCACACCTAAGTTATTGAGAGATGCCGAATTGGTCATACTAGAGTGACATACGAGTATCGTTTAAAAAATGAAGATGAACCACAATGTGTACCTTGCAACTGCAAGTATACTATTAAACATGTTTTAATTCATTGTATTGACTTTGCTGATATTCGGAAGAAGCTTTTCAATGTCAATAATATGTATCATTTATTTAATAATGTTCCATTTACAAATATTGTTTCATTCTTAAAAGAAATTGGAATATATCATAAAATATAAAAAAAATATTGTTATATTTAAAACGATTTTAATTTTTATCACGTTATCTTAGTGTTGATTTTTATTTGTAAATAATCAATTTGCTTTAGTCTAGAATTTTAGTTTATTGAAAGACCTTTTGTCTGATTTTAAAAATATACCTTAAATTGTTATAATATTCGAATTAGCTGTCGCCGCGATATAGCCTTTCTGTGCTAATGCGGCGTAAAGTAAACAACAATCAATCAATCAATCTAAGTTATTGAGCACACCGGTCTGCTCTTGTCACATGTACACCCAATAGAGAAATATTGTCTTTTCGTGAATATGAAAATTTAAGTCTGTCTATGCAGGTTCAGACATTAAGAATAACTATTCTAATAAAGTAGGTATCTTTCTACTATTTTCTATAAAAATTTAAGAAATGGTCGTCTCGATTTTTTGTACATGTATTTGCGGTCTTCTCGATCTATTCACATTCAATGTTTACATCGAGATAAGGTCCGTTTGAATTTGCTCAGTAACTTAATTCCAAAAGTGCCAATCTTTACTGCATATCAATCGATTCCTTTGGATTTTTTTCCCTGACTTTCTCTGATCTAGCTGTATACATATACGGATAATTAGCATGTTCCAGAGAGGTATACAGCCAGTAGAAAAATAAATTGAAGTTAGTACTCCAGGAATTTATTAGCGTTTGTTGTTGTTTGTGTTTTTTTTTTTTTTTTTGTTGCAGTTCAGTGTTTCTGTTGTTCCATTGTTTATCACTTATAGTTGATGAGTTTCCCTCGGTTTTAGTTTGTAACCCGGATTTGTTTTCTCCTAATCGATTTATGACTTTTGAAAAGCGGTATACTACTGTTGCCTTTATTTCGCATAGCAATATTTTACATCAAGCTTATATAGCCTTCTGTTCTCGTCATTTGCCACTTAAGGAGGGAAATGACAACATTAAATGGAAGTTTTGTTTTTATTTCAACTTGCCTGTAATTGCTTACATCCACCTCATTTGAACTTTGGTGGATAGTTGTCTCATTGGCAATCATACCACATCTCCTTATTTTTATAAACTGTATAAAATGGTGTTTAGATCCTAACAACAATTTTAAATACTTTGTTTGCGCACTTATTTTTAAAAGACTTAGTTTAACTTTGTAACATGTTTAGATCAATTTGATTGTGTTTAGAATCATGTTTGGCTTCGAAATTAGTGTTTTTAAAAGTCCTAAAAACTTTTAATTCTAAATCACATTTAAAAGTGTTTATATTCAAGACATGTGTACATTTAATGTGTTTACTTAGAAATGTGTTTAGATAATATTATAATTCTAGACACGAGTTTTCATGCATGTCAAATAGATGATCGCTGGAAAATAAAACTTACTTTAAGTCATAGAAAAAAAAAGATTCCTAGTTAACCACTAGAAAATTGTGTTCTTACTTCCACATTACAATCTACCGAATGCAATTCCTGGCCTTTTTAATCTTCATGCACAATTCAATAAAATTGCAATACGGTTACATCGGATATAGATTTTCCAGATATAAGAGAGCAAAAAAAGTTAAGTGTAATAGATATTTTTTGTCTCGCCTCTACGAAGTAATAAAGGTGTGCTGTTTCCGGTGGCGTTGGCGGGGTCAACATTTAAAAAAAAATTAATAATTTAACTTTTTAGGCTATTAAATAAAAATTTCGGAGTAACTATCACAAATTTATGTACGAAATGTGATAATAAGTGAGTAATTGAAGTGTTCAAGCTGACTGAACTTAAGTTTACGCCGCCTTTCAGAGAGGGATAAATAAAATGATTCTCTTTAAGTAAATATTTGTTGTTACTGCTTCAAAAACATTTCATTTACTTATGACTGTATATTTCTTAAATAATTACTCAGGAAAAGGTTTTTTTTTATAGCCCAATATAAGAAATATGGAGAAAAAGAACACTAAATCACTGAGTATAGCTTGCTATGCTTACTAACATTCATGGTAGAGCCATATTTCAAGGCAAGTTTCCCTCAAATGTGTTTTTGAAACTCAATCCACTCAAAATATTTCATGTTTGCAACTTTTCTGTAAAAAAGCATGAAA